AACCTATGATTAAAAAATGCCAAACCCATGTTGATAGATTTAATGCTTGGATTGTGGGATGGAAACATAACCTTTTATCTTTTATTTGAAGGTTGCAACAAGCCAAGAGCTCCTTAAATGGTTCTCTCTCTTAATTTAGGTTCGTATGTATTCCTAAACTAAAAATTAAGAAGAATAGTACTCTTATTAATAAATATTTCTATGATAATGGAGTTCATAATAAACTGTAGATATTGTCTTAGATCCTTTTAATGAAACTCAAAAGAAAATAAAAGCTTCAAATTTATTCTACCTGCTAACTCAATTATTCATTTAAAATGAGAAAACTTTAGAAATTTCTTAAACAACAAGCTATTACATATTATATGTGGTGAATAATTACTATATTTATATCTAGATATCTACCGATGATATGGTCACCCAATTTTGAAAAAAATAAAAGCTCGTTGCCTCTCACCTGAAGCGTCACTTGACTCATTCGATTTGGGAGCTAGGGAATAAAAATTTATTGCTTTATGACCCATGGATGATGGATACTTGTTGGGAGATATTGATTACAATCTTTAACCTTCCTTACAATGCACTTTTTAATATGGTTATAAAGGATTCCTAGCATATTTGTGATGCCTAATACTTTTATGATATGTATGAAAAAATTATGCACATGATTATTGTGGATGGTTTTGATAAATTCTTATAGAATGGAAAATTGTGTTGTAGTATGATCTAATGCTATTAACTCTCTCTTTCTCAATTCTCCTATTATTTTGTGGTACAACTTTGTATGGTTCAACTGTTTCTCATTGATGTTCCTTATATAAACATGAAAAGATTACATAGGTGGCAACTTGCAAAGGAGTTTGAATACTATGAAGTTTCTTGTTCTTAATTTGTTAGGATGGGTTAGAAATTAACAATTACATTTTCTTTCAATGCTCTTAGCTTCCTAGAATATTGCTTCCTAATGGAAATTTTTTATCTTTTTGAGGCTTCTCTTATGCAATTTTTGCATCATAGCCCAAGCCACCACCATCTCAGTATACTTCAGAAATTTTACATGCTCAATTCTATGGCTCTTATATCAAGTAGCACGTTAAGATCAAAGAATCTAAATTAAAGCATACTCATCACACGCACATGGATAACTATCTTGTTCCTTAGTCTGGAGATTTGACAACATCTGCATCTGTTGTATGATTCCTCACTCCTTGAGCTTCACCCATAATTTTTCTCTAATCCACATTGCTATGCTTCTCGGGCTTATTATGGCTCGGCTTGAATTTTCTTATGTTCGTTTTGGTCAGATTTTTTTTCTCAACGTTGCATGCATTTTCTCTTAAAGCTGTTCAGAATTTTTTTTTTTCATGTCATTTTCTCCTTTTTTAGAACATTTAGGCCAATTAAAGCATACTCATCACACGCACATTACATATGCAAGATTCAAACTCAATACCTCTTAGTTGGTAGCCAAAGCGCCTAACCAGAGCCCTGTATTGAGTACCCATACCCACACTCACCCACGTACCCACCCATTCCCAATGGGCATGGGTGGGTATGGGTACGCCCATGACCTCAAGGGTGGGTATGAGTGGGTGCTCAACATCGGGGGATAAGCCAATTTACATAGATAATCACCATATGCAGGATATTACCGTAATCCTCACTACGTAGTGTGCAACACTAAATCTCGTTGCAACAACCATAAATTCTGATATGTGACTTGAAAGTTTACAGTCATAGCAAGATGAAACAAGCCTCAAGGCCACAAGTCCATGACAGACTTCATTCAAAAAGTGTGGAAAGTGAGTTGGTATGGGTGGATATGGCATCCAGAAAGTCATCATGGGTTTGTATGGGTGGGCAAAACTTACTTGCCCACACAAAGCGTGGTAACCCAATGAGTACCCAACCTTCGCCTGCCCACGCAAAGCGTGGTAACTTAATGGGTATCCAACCAGGACTCCATATAGGACTTTGCTCCTAACCAACAAATCAAAATAAGCTGCGTTCATTTAGTCCTTTGAGATTGCATTGTATTTTGTGTTACTTCTTTCTGTAATTTAATATAATAGAGCCTCTCGGCTCCCAATCACCCTAAACAAAATCTACAAGCACAGCAGAAGCAAACCCAGCATCAGCCATTGACTTGACATGCGAGGACAGGGCTCTCAGAAGTAACTACCGAAGTGGAGAAACTTTTGGCACGCTTAGTCCTTTGTGTGCAAATCTTCACGTTTCAATTTTCTAGCTCACAAGACCTTTGTGCTCAGAAGAGATGTTGATTTCAGACAAATTCATGACCCTCCCCACTCCTCTTTCTTCACGTACAAAGTGGTCTATAATTAAAATGGAGACAGAACCGTGTAATGGTTTCTGTGGAGGACTGAACCCATCATTGCTCCAATTTCCAAAACCTTTTGTTGACGTTGGCCGGACAGGGCTAGCTCCAAGATTAGCTCAAAAGACTTTGGCTTTTTTTCGGGGGACTTAATTTGAGCCGAGTAAGGAAAATTAACACATCACATGTATAAATCTTAAATTCAAGATGTCTTGATTGATAGTAAAAACTCTCAATAAATAGATCAAGATGAGTTGCCAAAAAGATTTTGGCTTCGTTTGAGATAGTTTTTATCATTATTTTTTATTGCTTTCAAAAAAATTTTGCATACACATGGACTCGAACCTTGGACCTCTTGGTTGGAAGCCTAAGCTTTCAACCAATAGGTCAAGGAGACAAGATGAGTTGCCAAAAAGACTTTGGCTTCGTTTGAGATAGTTTTTATCATTATTTTTTATTGCTTTCAAGAAATTTTTGTGAGTAGAAAGTAGTAAGAAAAATAAGATGATTTTCTTATTATTTTATAAAGCTGTTATGAAGAAACTAACTTTTTAAAACCGCTGTAGAAAGTAAATTTTCAGTACAAATTTTTTTTTTTAAAACAGTAAAAAGAAGAGACCAAATAGAAATCGAAGTTGAAGTCTGAAAAAATAAAATAGTAAGAAAGCTAACACGAATGAAACCTTAATAAAATATATAAATAGCATAGATTAAAAATTATTAAAATAAATACATGTATTCATAAATTAAATAATTATTAATAGTTTTATTTATTCATGTACTTTTTATAATGTGAATATTATATTAGACTCTTTCATGATTCAATTTCTTAATTTTTGGTTTAATTTCTACTCTACATTAATAACCTTTTTTACTATTATATTACATTTACTAATATCTATTAAGCCTTGGGCTTTATCAGGGACTAATATTTTTATAGCAGGGGGCAGGAGCGGATCCAACTTCTTTTTTCAGAGTGGGCAAAAAAAAAAATTTCGGTGGTAGATGGGAAAAAATGCTTAGGATTGATAAAATTAGTGCAAAAAAGATTTTTGAGAGGGAAGAAAATACCCAAAATATTCAAAATATTCTAAATTATTCCCTTTAAATATTTAATTTTTTTTTAATACCCACCCTCAATACATAGGGGATCCGGCCATGACAGGAGGATAACATATTATCGAGATTGTACTTAGAAATGCCATTGAATTTATTTTATAATATAGTATTACTATTAATAATATAAATACATGTCATTATTTATAAGATTGATCAAAACCATTGACACTAACTCTCACTCCAGATATCAATATTGAGATTTATATCTGACTTTTTGGCCTTTGATCTCATTTTGTCAATGAAATATGACCAAATAAATAACCAAACAGTCTATTAAAGACAACTCATACGCTATAGGACTCTTCCAATATCAACTGCATAATATGTTCTCTATACACAACAAAAAAGTACGGCTATCGCGACACTATTTTTAAGTTATCTCGGTAGTTTCAACTCCCACTAATTTCTTCGTAGCATTTTTAAAACCGCTGCACTCCTGCTATAACTGTTATGCGCTGCAACAATATTCTGCAGTAGTTTAAGGACCGACAGGATAGAATCATCGAAACGCTAGATTTAGCAGCGGTTATAACCGGTGCAAACCTATATATTTGCAGCAGTTATAACCGCTACAAATATATTCAAAATAATCTGCTTTCGAGAATTGTGACGGTTTTAATAGAATTGTTTCGGAGTGGATTATATCAGTGGTATCAGCAATCAAAACCGCTGCAAAAGCAGGTTTTGACAGCGATTTTCAAACCGTCCCTAACATCTGCTGCGAAAAATCATATGTTTTTTATAGTGATAGTATATGTATTTACTTAATCGAATTAATTCCTTTCTCTGAGAAAAGACATTGTTTATAAATGATGATAAACACTAATTCAATCATTTTAACTGGATCAGGTCCCTTGGTTTTTTTTCCTTTTATAAGCTTTTCACGTAAAAATTCTAATATGTCTTGGAACTCCTCTTTATATGTGCCCTTTTAGATTTCCATGTAAAACTAAGATGTTAAACTCTATCTCTTTAATATTATGTATATTTTGTCACACAACAGCTAAATATAATTTTCTTTAAGAAAATCTTTAATATTATAAAATTATTATAAATATATGCATCAATTATAATTGAAAGAGGGTATTAAAAAATAAATGCATGAACTGTTGAAAATTAAACTTGATTAATTGGGCCTTTAATTGAGTGGGCTTTCTAAATGAGCCCATAGTCTAGAAAAGTCTTTAGAAACTTCTAGAATCCTACTTTATGATGAATGTTTTAGAGGATTCTAGAGATATATTCTAAAAAGAGTTGTTTAGAGTATTCTAGAATATGCAATTAATGACTTTTGTAAAAGAAGATAGGAGAATATTCTAGAAAGTCAATATTAGGCCTTGGAGAAATTGTTGACAATCCTAAGGGGGGTAGTCACTAGATAATAGGTTGGGTATTGTGTTTATGTAAGAAGTAGAATCAGAGTTCAAGATTGAATAAAAGTGAGTATTTATAAGTGTTTCTCTCTCTTCTAAATTTCTTCCTCTTCTTATAGCCTCTTATTCTCCAACAAAGTGGTATCAGAGCCGAAGTTCTTCCTAAAGAGATGGCGAGCAATGGTATGATCCCTTTCCAAGTCCCAACGCTCAACAATAGCAACTATGACAATTGGAGCATCAAAATGAAGGCCCTTCTTGGAGCGCAAGATGTATGGGAGATGATAGAGAAAGGCTACAATGAGCCACAAGATGAGTCAAGTTTATCCCAAGCTCAAAAGGATAGTCTAAGAGATTCAAGGAAGAGAGACAAGAAGGCTCTCTATCTAATCTTTCAAGGATTAGATGATGACTCTTTTGAGAAGATTTCCGATGCGAAGTCTGCCAAAGAAGCATGGGAGAAGCTTCAGACCTCTTACAAAGGAGCGGAGCAAGTCAAGAAGGTGCGTCTCCAAACATTAAGAGGTGAGTTCGAAGCCTTACATATGAAAGAAGTGGAAGTCATTTCCGACTACTTTACTAGAGTCTTAGCCGTTTCTAATCAATTAAAAAGAAATGGTGAGAAGCTAGAAGATGTAAGGATTATGGAGAAAATCCTTCGTTCTCTAGATTCAAAGTTCGATCATATTGTCGCCATTATTGAAGAAACCAAAGACTTAGAGGCTATGACAATCGAGCAACTCTTGGGATCCTTACAAGCCTATGAAGAAAAGAAAAAGAAGAAGCAAGTTATCACGGAACAACTCCTTAAGACACAAATTAATTCAGCTAAAGAAGAGGGCCTCGAGTATGGTAGAAGCCAACAAGGAAGAGGTCGTGGTCGTGGACAAAGTCGTGGTCATGGGCGCTATTATTATTATTATTATTATTATTATTATTATTATTATTATTATTATTATTATTATTATTATTATTATTATTATTATTATTATTATTATTATTATTATTATTATTATTATTATTATTATTATTATTATTATTATTATTATTATTATTATTATTATTATTATTATTATTATTATTATTATTATTATTATTATTATTATTATTATTATTATTATTATTATTATTATTATTATTATTATTATTATTATTATTATTATTATTATTATTATTATTATTATTATTATTATTATTATTATTATTATTATTATTATTATTATTATTATTATTATTATTATTATTATTATTATTATTATTATTATTATTATTATTATTATTATTATTATTATTATTATTATTATTATTATTATTATTATTATTATTATTATTATTATTATTATTATTATTATTATTATTATTATTATTATTATTATTATTATTATTATTATTATTATTATTATTATTATTATTATTATTATTATTATTATTATTATTATTATTATTATTATTATTATTATTATTATTATTATTATTATTATTATTATTATTATTATTATTATTATTATTATTATTATTATTATTATTATTATTATTATTATTATTATTATTATTATTATTATTATTATTATTATTATTATTATTATTATTATTATTATTATTATTATTATTATTATTATTATTATTATTATTATTATTATTATTATTATTATTATTATTATTATTATTATTATTATTATTATTATTATTATTATTATTATTATTATTATTATTATTATTATTATTATTATTATTATTATTATTATTATTATTATTATTATTATTATTATTATTATTATTATTATTATTATTATTATTATTATTATTATTATTATTATTATTATTATTATTATTATTATTATTATTATTATTATTATTATTATTATTATTATTATTATTATTATTATTATTATTATTATTATTATTATTATTATTATTATTATTATTATTATTATTATTATTATTATTATTATTATTATTATTATTATTATTATTATTATTATTATTATTATTATTATTATTATTATTATTATTATTATTATTATTATTATTATTATTATTATTATTATTATTATTATTATTATTATTATTATTATTATTATTATTATTATTATTATTATTATTATTATTATTATTATTATTATTATTATTATTATTATTATTATTATTATTATTATTATTATTATTATTATTATTATTATTATTATTATTATTATTATTATTATTATTATTATTATTATTATTATTATTATTATTATTATTATTATTATTATTATTATTATTATTATTATTATTATTATTATTATTATTATTATTATTATTATTATTATTATTATTATTATTATTATTATTATTATTATTATTATTATTATTATTATTATTATTATTATTATTATTATTATTATTATTATTATTATTATTATTATTATTATTATTATTATTATTATTATTATTATTATTATTATTATTATTATTATTATTATTATTATTATTATTATTATTATTATTATTATTATTATTATTATTATTATTATTATTATTATTATTATTATTATTATTATTATTATTATTATTATTATTATTATTATTATTATTATTATTATTATTATTATTATTATTATTATTATTATTATTATTATTATTATTATTATTATTATTATTATTATTATTATTATTATTATTATTATTATTATTATTATTATTATTATTATTATTATTATTATTATTATTATTATTATTATTATTATTATTATTATTATTATTATTATTATTATTATTATTATTATTATTATTATTATTATTATTATTATTATTATTATTATTATTATTATTATTATTATTATTATTATTATTATTATTATTATTATTATTATTATTATTATTATTATTATTATTATTATTATTATTATTATTATTATTATTATTATTATTATTATTATTATTATTATTATTATTATTATTATTATTATTATTATTATTATTATTATTATTATTATTATTATTATTATTATTATTATTATTATTATTATTATTATTATTATTATTATTATTATTATTATTATTATTATTATTATTATTATTATTATTATTATTATTATTATTATTATTATTATTATTATTATTATTATTATTATTATTATTATTATTATTATTATTATTATTATTATTATTATTATTATTATTATTATTATTATTATTATTATTATTATTATTATTATTATTATTATTATTATTATTATTATTATTATTATTATTATTATTATTATTATTATTATTATTATTATTATTATTATTATTATTATTATTATTATTATTATTATTATTATTATTATTATTATTATTATTATTATTATTATTATTATTATTATTATTATTATTATTATTATTATTATTATTATTATTATTATTATTATTATTATTATTATTATTATTATTATTATTATTATTATTATTATTATTATTATTATTATTATTATTATTATTATTATTATTATTATTATTATTATTATTATTATTATTATTATTATTATTATTATTATTATTATTATTATTATTATTATTATTATTATTATTATTATTATTATTATTATTATTATTATTATTATTATTATTATTATTATTATTATTATTATTATTATTATTATTATTATTATTATTATTATTATTATTATTATTATTATTATTATTATTATTATTATTATTATTATTATTATTATTATTATTATTATTATTATTATTATTATTATTATTATTATTATTATTATTATTATTATTATTATTATTATTATTATTATTATTATTATTATTATTATTATTATTATTATTATTATTATTATTATTATTATTATTATTATTATTATTATTATTATTATTATTATTATTATTATTATTATTATTATTATTATTATTATTATTATTATTATTATTATTATTATTATTATTATTATTATTATTATTATTATTATTATTATTATTATTATTATTATTATTATTATTATTATTATTATTATTATTATTATTATTATTATTATTATTATTATTATTATTATTATTATTATTATTATTATTATTATTATTATTATTATTATTATTATTATTATTATTATTATTATTATTATTATTATTATTATTATTATTATTATTATTATTATTATTATTATTATTATTATTATTATTATTATTATTATTATTATTATTATTATTATTATTATTATTATTATTATTATTATTATTATTATTATTATTATTATTATTATTATTATTATTATTATTATTATTATTATTATTATTATTATTATTATTATTATTATTATTATTATTATTATTATTATTATTATTATTATTATTATTATTATTATTATTATTATTATTATTATTATTATTATTATTATTATTATTATTATTATTATTATTATTATTATTATTATTATTATTATTATTATTATTATTATTATTATTATTATTATTATTATTATTATTATTATTATTATTATTATTATTATTATTATTATTATTATTATTATTATTATTATTATTATTATTATTATTATTATTATTATTATTATTATTATTATTATTATTATTATTATTATTATTATTATTATTATTATTATTATTATTATTATTATTATTATTATTATTATTATTATTATTATTATTATTATTATTATTATTATTATTATTATTATTATTATTATTATTATTATTATTATTATTATTATTATTATTATTATTATTATTATTATTATTATTATTATTATTATTATTATTATTATTATTATTATTATTATTATTATTATTATTATTATTATTATTATTATTATTATTATTATTATTATTATTATTATTATTATTATTATTATTATTATTATTATTATTATTATTATTATTATTATTATTATTATTATTATTATTATTATTATTATTATTATTATTATTATTATTATTATTATTATTATTATTATTATTATTATTATTATTATTATTATTATTATTATTATTATTATTATTATTATTATTATTATTATTATTATTATTATTATTATTATTATTATTATTATTATTATTATTATTATTATTATTATTATTATTATTATTATTATTATTATTATTATTATTATTATTATTATTATTATTATTATTATTATTATTATTATTATTATTATTATTATTATTATTATTATTATTATTATTATTATTATTATTATTATTATTATTATTATTATTATTATTATTATTATTATTATTATTATTATTATTATTATTATTATTATTATTATTATTATTATTATTATTATTATTATTATTATTATTATTATTATTATTATTATTATTATTATTATTATTATTATTATTATTATTATTATTATTATTATTATTATTATTATTATTATTATTATTATTATTATTATTATTATTATTATTATTATTATTATTATTATTATTATTATTATTATTATTATTATTATTATTATTATTATTATTATTATTATTATTATTATTATTATTATTATTATTATTATTATTATTATTATTATTATTATTATTATTATTATTATTATTATTATTATTATTATTATTATTATTATTATTATTATTATTATTATTATTATTATTATTATTATTATTATTATTATTATTATTATTATTATTATTATTATTATTATTATTATTATTATTATTATTATTATTATTATTATTATTATTATTATTATTATTATTATTATTATTATTATTATTATTATTATTATTATTATTATTATTATTATTATTATTATTATTATTATTATTATTATTATTATTATTATTATTATTATTATTATTATTATTATTATTATTATTATTATTATTATTATTATTATTATTATTATTATTATTATTATTATTATTATTATTATTATTATTATTATTATTATTATTATTATTATTATTATTATTATTATTATTATTATTATTATTATTATTATTATTATTATTATTATTATTATTATTATTATTATTATTATTATTATTATTATTATTATTATTATTATTATTATTATTATTATTATTATTATTATTATTATTATTATTATTATTATTATTATTATTATTATTATTATTATTATTATTATTATTATTATTATTATTATTATTATTATTATTATTATTATTATTATTATTATTATTATTATTATTATTATTATTATTATTATTATTATTATTATTATTATTATTATTATTATTATTATTATTATTATTATTATTATTATTATTATTATTATTATTATTATTATTATTATTATTATTATTATTATTATTATTATTATTATTATTATTATTATTATTATTATTATTATTATTATTATTATTATTATTATTATTATTATTATTATTATTATTATTATTATTATTATTATTATTATTATTATTATTATTATTATTATTATTATTATTATTATTATTATTATTATTATTATTATTATTATTATTATTATTATTATTATTATTATTATTATTATTATTATTATTATTATTATTATTATTATTATTATTATTATTATTATTATTATTATTATTATTATTATTATTATTATTATTATTATTATTATTATTATTATTATTATTATTATTATTATTATTATTATTATTATTATTATTATTATTATTATTATTATTATTATTATTATTATTATTATTATTATTATTATTATTATTATTATTATTATTATTATTATTATTATTATTATTATTATTATTATTATTATTATTATTATTATTATTATTATTATTATTATTATTATTATTATTATTATTATTATTATTATTATTATTATTATTATTATTATTATTATTATTATTATTATTATTATTATTATTATTATTATTATTATTATTACTATTGAATTTTCATGTTGAACTAGGATAATAATATCATTTTTTTTCGTTATTTTGGTTTTAACAGGCCAGGTTGACTCGACAATATTAATATAGGATTATTTTTAGATCAAATACAAACTCAACTCATAAACCTGAATTGAGTTAAATTGACCTATGACATAGTTCATCTTGATCTGTTGGTTGAGAGCTTAGGCTACCAACTAAGAGATCCTGAGTTTGAGTCTGCTACCAACTAAGAGATCCTGGTGCCTATGCTATATGCAAGGATGAACGTATTACAAGATAGATTTTCTTGCGGTTCCCTTGGAATAAATGTATAGATGCATATAAGCATTGATATAAATATAAACTTTATAAATATTTACATGCATATGTTATATTTCATTTGTTCTTGGCTCAATTGAGCACAATTCCAGTTTTATTTGAACAAAATCTCTCATTAATTAGCTCTCTGTACTTCATCCGAATTCAACCAAGAATAAATAAAATTGAACAACAATTCCCAACGGGAACTCAAATTTGAGAAATTATTTTGTGCGGAGGTCGGATGCAGAACGTCGTCCGAAGACCAACCAGAATGCATCACGTCAACGGTACCGAGCCCCGGTAGCGAGCAAATGGGTGATGTGGCACATTCTGGTTAGTCTTAGGACGGCGTTCGGCCTCTGCATAGAATAATTAATCCTCAAATTTTGACTCAATAATCCCTTAGAAGATTATGCCTCATTAATTTATATTTAGATGAGTATGCTTCATTAATAAATATGCAAAGTGGATTTATGGGAGTGGAGATTCAATAGTGGAAGTACCAACATCAAAAGAACAAAGTACTTTAATGCTTTATTTGCTATCACCAAATACTGGTGCGCAACCGAGGCTTGAGTTGAGCTTTTGTAAATTGATTTGGCTTGAGTTGAGCTTTTGTAAATTGATTTTCTCCCACACTTGCAAAAAATATATATATCATTATATATGCTTGAAGATCGTATTGGACAATTATCTCCATCACTTAGTTTATCACATCTCTTGCGTATTTAAGCTCAATTGGTAGTATTTTAAACTATCTTATTACATTAAAAAATTTAGCGCATTGTTTATTTTATTTTAAGCTGTGCAAAGCTAGCATCTTCGACTTATGACTCATGAACTCTTGAACTAACAACTCCCTTGGTTTCCGAGCAGTCGACTTATGACTACAGCACCAGGCCCATTAGCTCATTTGCTAAATGCTCGATTAACAACATTTACATTAGCACTATACCTATCCATACAATGAGGATTGCAGTCTTACACTTAGTACGCATACTCTTTAGCCATCCCAACCAATGAGTCCACTAAGAACCTCCTCCATTAGTAAGACTTTTCATTCATTGTCTCAAAGTCATTGCCACAATCATATTAGTTCATCTTAAGTTACTTGTCCACTCTAATTCAAGGATTTCAAAGCAGAATTGCCAACAATATCTCATTGTACTAATCCGCATAATATCAACATTAGAACACCCTGAACATTATCATTTACTTTTGGCTTAATCATAGCTTCTAAAGAAACAACACATATCATTTGTATATAATTAACACACAACCAAATTATAAAAGCTCCCCCACATCACTTCTTAAATAATTGAAGCTGCTCCTCTTATTTGTCCATAAAGAATCATATAATCCTATATAAATGTGCATAGTTTATAACTTTATAAGAGATCATGCAATTATTGATATTTAATTAGGTAACACATAATAGTCTGTTGTCTTACCTTCATGATAACACCACGACTCCATGAGCAAATATCTAACCTCCTCGTGATATAGCACAACAAATGGTTCAAACAAATTAACTCATTAGCCTAATTATAAGAGCAAGAGCAAAAGCCTAAGAACAAGATCCCATTACAAAGGTCAAACATAGATTTATTTATATGTAACTTTCTTTTATCCATTTGTATTTTTATTTTGCACTTGGAACCATGTATTGTCAACCCCACTTAATGAACTTGAGCATGAAAAATGAAATTAATTAAAATTATAATCACTCCTTATGCGTAGTTGTCTTCCTTAGTGATAGACATTCCTCATAGGACCCTCATAGGTGAATTCCTAATAACAAAGTATGGGCTAACCATAAAAACCTAAGACCCTAGGGCTTATTCCAAAGATGAGTCTCCATTGCCCATACCAGAGCTTATGATAGATACAATATCTTGCAAATACTATAAGATCAATATCCATTTCTATAACATCATGCCTTCGACACTTAAGAATGCTAGTGAACGGACTATGCTCGGATATTCGTCAAATTTATCCACGATCAAGTGACATGTTCCATTTAATTTTAAGTTCAAATAGGTGGACTATGGCCAACCAAGTGCCTATTAGGATTACCAAATTATTGGACCTATGGGCTAACCCAACCCACTAAAAAGACTTACATACAAACAACCTCTACACTTTCATAAAAACCTTGATTCATGAACACAAAAAATGTACATCTGTTTATTCATATCAATACAAATAATGATAATTTCAACAATACAAAGCCATTAGGCCATGGTCACATGAGCCTCGTGAATTTTTATATTTCCATGGACTCACGTGAGTCATGCAGGCAAGGGGACGTGGCCTTTTCTAACTTTAGCAATCAATGCAGAATTGACTACTGTGAACAAGGAGAAGCTCGTTTGCTTGGTCTTATAATTTTACAGATCAAGTGACTAATGAAGCAATTAAAAGTTAATGACTTTCTAATTGCAGCAATTAGATTTGATTAATCAATCATTTATGTTGCTTAGGGCATCTCCAACAAAAAATCCCATTTTCACTTGCATTTTAAAACTCAAAAAGCCGTGATTCTTCTCCAATCAAATTCGAGTTTGTGAGCTTCTACAAAGGTAACAGTTTTCCTACTCTTTCGCGCGCTTTTTCGGTAAACCCGGTTGAGATAGAAAAATCGCGTAGGTGAACAGTGCGACGCCAATATTGACGTCGCACTGTTCACCCGCAACCAAATAACAAAAGTATTGCCGTTCTAGTGGAGCTCGTGAGCGACGCCATTCATGCATTTGGAGATAGACTGGAGAAGGCCTTATAGATGATTAGTGCTGCGTCGCTGAGAAGCAACTATACGATCTGTGTATTAAGTATATAGAAAGTGGAGTCTTGGTTGACTCACCTGCTGGTCATACGCGTTAGTGTAGGAAGGCAGTGGGAAAATAAAGAGCTATATCCCAAATAAGCTTTTATTTAATTAATTACCCACCCTAGGCCAAGGTGCAACCTCCATTAATCACCACTCTCTCTTCCTTTATTGCAAGTAAGAACTATATAAGATTACCATCCTACACCTAATGAAGAGAGAGAGAGAGAGAGAGAGAGAGAGAGAGAGAGAGAGAGAGAGAGATGGGAGGAGAGATAAACGAGGAGTTCGAGCTGAATGAGGTGGAAGACAACCTTCATGGTTCAGTGGGAAGTAGGCTGGCTTTGTTTTCAAAGGAGTACGGGCTAACAAAGGGGAGTGCTCTCAGGCTTTCTAAGGATTGCTACGGTTCATTTGTTATCCATCCCAATGGAAGGTAACGGTTCAAAACGAAGTTAGATATTGGATAGCTTATAGCTTGTACAGTAATCACGCTTTTATACAAAAAATCAACATAGTTAATCTAACTTTCCAAAGGAAATGTGAACATAGTTACTCTCTTCTGCACGAGAAGATCTTAAGAAGCAAAGAAGCTCCTTCATTCAATTTAAAGAAAAATGGTTGTGGATGCATTCAATCTCTTCCTAGAGAAACTGTCCAAAAAAAGCAGTATTTCACCTTCAATCTGTTCCATAATTGAGCATGTTTCTCCTTGCCATCAGTTCGAATTCGAGCATGTTAACTTTACTCACCATTCCTCAAGAAAAAAATGTTTCAATTGAGCTGATATAAAAGCAATATAATCATTACTAAGGCTCCATTTAGAACAATTTTTGTACTACTTAAAATGACTTTCTAGTATAAAAATTAAAATTTGTATGCTAAAAAACTGCTTTAAGAAGCAGTAAGAAAGACAAACCAAATGAAGCCTAGGACGGCTTTCTTAACACTTCTTAAAAAACTTTTTAAGTATAAAAATTTTAATTATTGTACTAAAAAATTATTTTAAGAAGCAGTAAGAAAGTTGTTCAAACAAAACCTAAGATACTACTCCAAGCAGGATACACTGTTTCAAACTATAAAGCTCCTCAAATACTAACTTCTAATATAATCATTTCTGTTTTTATTTGCCTCCAGGTTGTACAGGTGTTGGGTGAATATCATTTTCTTGTGGTCTATTTATTCAGCATTCCTAACACCCCTGGAGTTCGGGTTCTTCAGAGGGCTGTCCGGCCACCTGGTGGAACTAGAAAGCATACAGTTAATCTTCCTCGTTGACATCATATTGCAATTCTTCATCGCATATAGAGATGCTCATACGTATAAGATGGTGCAAGACCGAAAGAGCATCGCCCTACGGTGAGAGTATCATATTAATAAACATATAAGATTGTTTACTTCGATGAATGTTTAGATCCCAAAATGTACAAATTTAAGAGGTTGCAGGCCTTCTGCTGCAACTAGGATTTGTATGAAATGTTATTCTAATTAAACAGGCAACAAACTTATCATAAAAAGATGGGCTTGTCTCTACTGATATAGAGATGAGTGATATTTTTACACAAATATATGGATGAAAGAGGCATGAAATATTGATCATAGCATGAATTAGTAATCACTTTATGATGCAGATATGCAAAAGGAGACTTCTGTCTGGATCTACTTGGATGCTTCCCATGGGATGCCATATACAAGGTAAACTGAGAAAACTATAATTTCATGACAAAACTAAAATTAAACGAAACTGAAATTCAATCGCATCTTTTTATACAACAACAATAACAACATCAAGCCTTTGTCCCACTACGTGGGGTCGGCTACATGAATCATTTTTCGACATTGTGTTATGTTAAAAGTCAAATTCTCATTCAAATCTAACAAAGAAAGATCATTTATAATATTTTCTAAAAAGTCTTTTTAGGTCTACCACTACCTTTCTTAACATAAGTCAAATCTAATACCTCAACTTTCCTAACCGGGCCATCGAAAGGCCTCCGTTTAATGTGACCAAACCATCTAAGGCGACTCTCTCTAATCTTATCTTCCACTGGAGCTACTCTAACCTTTTCATATATATCCTCATTTCGTATACTATGTCTAAGGGTAAAGCCACTCATCCGCCTAAACATCTTCATCTCTACAACACATAACTTAGTATTATGCTTCTCTTTTAATGGCCAACATTCGGCACCATAAAGCATTGCAGATCTCACCACCATCTTATAGAATTTTCTCTTAAGTTTGAGTGGGACTTCTCTATCCCACAATCACGTCTGTTTATAAGGAAAAAAAAAATTATTGGAAGTATATATTAGCAAGTTATGTTTCGCTTAATTTAGGCCACAGGAAGGAGGGAATTAATCAGATACCTTCTTTGGACAAGATTATATCGTGCAAGGAAGATCAAACAGTTCTTTAAGAAGATGGAGAAAGACATTCGCATCAATTACCTATTCACTAGAATAGTAAAGCTCGTCACTGTGGAGCTCTACTGCACCCACACTGCAGCATGCATCTTCTACTACCTTGCAACAACGATTCAGCCAGCAAAAGAAGGTTATACATGGATTGGAAGCCTAACTCTGGGGGACTACAAGTACATCAACTTCAGGGAGATAGACTTCTGGAGGAGATATATTACCTCCCTTTACTTCGCAATCGTGACAATGGCGACGGTTGGTGAGTTACAGCTCACTATTCTTCCAAGATGAAGTTGAATCTGCTTTAACTGTTCTCTATTGCAGGTTATGGTGAAATCCATGCAGTGAATGCTAGAGAGATGATTTTTATCATGATTTATGTCTCATTTGATATGATTCTTGGGGCCTATTTGATTGGAAATATGACCGCTTTGATTGTCAAGGGATCAAAGACAGAGAGGTTCAGGGATAGGATGGCCGATCTAATCAAATACATGAACAGAAATAAACTTCACAAAGATATCAGAAATCAGATTAAAAGTCATTTGATGTTACAATACGAGAGCAGTTATACCAGAGCTAGAATTCTTGAAGACATTCCAATAGCAGTAAAAGCCAAGGTATCTTCAATTATTGCTTGAGATATTGCATATAATAGATAATGAAGATTAAAATACAGAGTGGAAAAACCCAAAAAAATACAGTACTATTCAAGTTTCCTCTGAGCAGAAAATTGGTAGATTAACGTGGAATAAGAAAAAAGATGATACAATCCAATGTTTAAGAATAAAATTTGATAAGCTGAAAGACTAAGATTTTGCAGATATCTCAGTCTTTATATCTTGAGATGGTTCAAAGAGTGCCACTTTTCGAAGGATGCTCGGAGGAATTCCTAAATCAGATGGTATGCATCAAAATTTTGGCACCTACTACATAATTTAGTCAAAGAATGTATTATAAAAAGTACACAAACCTCGATGAAATTCCTAACCTTCTGTATCAAATAAAAAAAAACAGGTAATGAAGCTGAATGAAGAATTCTTCCTTCCCGGAGAAGTGATCCTTGAACAGGGGAGTGCTGTGGATCAAATCTACGTCGTTTCTCATGGTACTCTGGTAATACCATTATTATTTCTGGGAAAATAATTATATTCATGCACATAAAGCTATATTCATGCACATAACGGAAAATAACCAAATATGAATATATGGATGGCCGGTGATAAAAAAACAATGTTGTTCTTTAACTAGTTCCTATAGAACACCCTAAACCAAGATACATATGCGGAAGCATTGTTTAAAGCATGATTGGGGTTGTGTAAACTATAAATTCCGGATCTCCATGCAATCTCACAATTTCATCAACATATATTTTACTAATTCTTTCATTGAATATGTTTGTTTAATTGGTAAGAAATGAGAGCTCAATATCCCCATTATTCAACTAAAGTAGGTCTATTTATTCCCTACATTTAAATTTTGAGGACAAAATTTTTATATGAATGGGAGATTGTAAGAACCAGGGTTGCCGGTTCAATTGAACCGGCCCTAACTAAAACAACAGGCGACCAGGTAAGCCGAGCGGGCACGGGCACAGGCATACCTAGCGGAACCAGATCACGCAATCGAATAAAGAAACGAGTGCAGGAATGAAAAACAGCGACTCCTCATGGGAGATAACACCGATTTGCTCACTCCGATGGAATCAAACGAGCGAATGAGAGCAACAACCGAGATAAAACTGTGTCAAGAGGAAGAAGGAGAAGGAAGGTAAATTTGTCAACTTTATTCATTTTTATGCAAAATTCTTTTATGGTTTAAACCTATGAAATGATCAATATCTCAATTGAAGGCAGAAAAAAGAAAATGAGAGAAAATTGGAGGTTTTTAAGTTTCTTCCATTTCTAACGACGAAGGAAAGAGAAACTGATTTAAATAATTAATTTATGTTCAGACTTAGATGAGAAATCTCTATAATTTTATTCCGCTGATTGAAGCAATAATATATGATTGTCAATAGAAAAAATTCAATTGATGTGAATCTCAACTAAAAAATGAACTAAGAAAATTTTTTGTTGAGCTGAAGAAAGAAAAGATTCATTGAGGTAATTAATGTTAATTAATAATATTTAACTTTTAATTATATTAGAATTTACAGTATATGGTAGAATTATAAATATTGATTTAACAAATAAAAAGCATTCAATGTTATATAATATAAGATGACGTCCGACGTCCCACGTATTTGAAATTGTCCTTAAAGATGTCAAATCAATTCAATGTTGTTTTAAATTCGTAAAGTTCTTTAATTAATGAAATCAAATATTATTTGAAATAGGGAAGGATTTAAACTATTGAACGAAGGTGAAGTGCCGAAGCCAATAAGAGGTCTTAAAGAGAGTTTAGGTAAGATTATATATAGTTACTGAAAAATTTTATATGAGATTAATGAAAGTTAGATATAAGATAATAATGTAAATTTATGAAATTTAGTACGTAACCTTTGGTATTACATTAAGAGATGTTATATCAAAGCTCAAGAATTTCAAAGAAATTGAAGTACGAAAAGTGATCAAAGTAGGTAATTACATTTGTTTTATAGCAATTACAATTTCTTTTTTATTTTATTGTAATTATCACATGTCATAGCATATATGTTTACTTAATGTTTAATACATATGAATTAATTGAGAAGAACAAAGTTGATGATTATTATACTAAATTCATTTTCTTTACTTTATTACTATTATTGAATATTGTAACATACATAAGTATTTGATATTGTTAAATATTTAATATAAAACAAATTTGAAAATGAATGAATATTGAGAAGAACAAAGTTGATGATTATTATACTAAATTCATTTTCTTTACTTTATTACTATTATTGAATATTGTAACATACATAAGTATTTGATATTGTTAAATATTTAATATAAAACAAATTTGAGAATGACTGAATAACTGAAGCTAATGATATAAATTTAAATTGTTAAACTTAATTTTTAAATAAATCTTCTGAAAAATAAAATGGATAAAAAACAAGAATATATCTATAGAAGAAGACGATCGAATGAAAATAGGTAAAATATAGTTTATGCATATATTAAAATTTATAAGTTTATTAATGATTCTTTAGTCTTATGTGGGATGTTAGTTATTAATTGTTTATGGATTTAAAATAAATGTATTAACTGTCCGACCATCTGTTACTATCTCGTTAATTCTAGTCTTTGTGCTAGGTCATGACAAAAGTTAACGAGATCTAAAGACTCAAATTAACGAGGCACAAACAATTGAGCTATTAATACATTTATTTTAATAACATAAATAATTAACAAAATAAGATACCACATAAAAACTGAAGAGTCACTAACAAATTTATAAATTTAACATATACATAAGTTTGATTTTACATATTTTTATTCGATCTCATTCTTCTGTAGAAGCATTTTTCTCTTTTAGTATTTTCTTTTTCAGAAGATTTACCTAAAATTTTAATTTAACAGTTTGAGTTTATATAGTAAACTCAGTGGATAATAACAGCATAGAGTATAACATTTAAACATACATAAAAATAATCATATTTTTTACTTTCTCATACAGTTAACATATTCATTATATTTTATATGTTATAACATATTCATAACATTTCATATACAGTAGATTTTTTATAAATGTCTTTCAAAAATAACTTTTTATTTATGTATTTCATTTTTACTTTCTATTTAATGCAGGAGCATCGTCTAAACTTTTTTATACTAATGAAGGTGCAACCATTTTCATTTTCTTTTTCTTTTTCTTTTCTATTTAACATACATGGGTACGTTGCATTTTTAATCAATAATATAAGAAAACAAACTCTTGTATTTATATGCATGCAACTTTTCTTTCTTTTAATATTTTCATTTTTCATATAAATATTTATTTAGTTTATTTTAATTTTCCATCACATGTCATATTAATTTATAAGGATAATTATACATATATATTATTTTATGATCTTCAATTATTTAATATTCTCAAATTTGTTGTATATTAAACATTCAACTATAACAATATTTGAGCATGTTATATTGTTCAATAATAGTAATATAATGAAAAAAATAAAATTATTATAACTAACATAATCATCCATTTTGTTCTTCTCGATTGATTCATTTTATACATTAAACGTTCAGTTGACATAATGCTATAGCATGTAATAATTACATTACAATAAAATAAAAAGAAAATTATAATTACTATAAAATAATTATAGTTACCCACTTTGATTACTTTTGTGTTTCAATTCTTCCAATGCTCTAGCTCTGATAGGCTTCCTTAATATAACACCTAAGGTTGCATAAAAAATTTTATGAATTTACATTATTATCTTACAAATAACTTTCATTAATTTCATATAAATTTTTTTATTAATATATATGAAAGATTACCTAAACTCCTTTTAAGATTTTTTATTGGTTTAACACTTCACTTTTGTTCAACAATTAAAACCTTCACTGTATCAAATAATATTCAATTTCATTAATTAAATAACATTACGAATTCAAAATAATATTGAATTGATTTGACATCATTAAAAGTAATTTTATATGCGTGGGATATCATTTTATACTATATAATATTGAATGTTTCTTATTTGTCAAATCAACATTTATAATTTTAGCATATACTATTAAATTTTAATATAATTAAAATTTAAATATTATTAATTAAAAATTAATTATCTCAATGAATCTTTCTATCCTTTAATTTAATAAAAACTTTTCTTCCTTCACTTTTGAATCGAGATTCACATCAAATGAATTCTTCCAATCGACTCATATTATTGTCTTAATCAAAAGAATGAAATTATACAGATTTTCTTATCTAAGTCTGAATTTATACATAAATTAACAATTTAAATCACTTACTTTTTCTTTAGTCGTTAGAAATGGAAGAAACTTCAAAATCTCTAATTTCTCTCATTTTATCTCAATTTCTTCTTCTACCATAAATTGAGATATTGATACATTCTTAGATTTAAATCACAAATAAAATTTGCACAAAAAAGAAAAAATTTGACAAACCTGCATTCCTTCTCCTTCTTCCTTTCGGCATGGCTTTTTCTTGATTGTTACTTTCATTCGCACGTTTGATTTCACTAGAGTGAGTGAATCGAAGTTATCCCCCATGTGGAGTCGCTGCTTTTCACTCCCGCACTCATTTCCTCACTCGATTGTGTGATATGATTCCATTAAGTATGCTTACAACCATGCTCAACCTGCAATTTTGCCTGCTCGGCTTGTCTACTCGCTTGTTTGTTTTAGTCAAACCCAGTTCTGACAGTGTGAAAGATCATTGTAGTATAAAATCTTTTATTATGGGCCCAGCTTGCATATAACTTCAACAGCCTAATCTACCAATGGAATTTACTCGCAATAAATCCTTTCACTCTTAACAAAACAGGAGGCGGTGGTTAGTGGAGAAAATGGATTGGAGGCAGCAATATCAGAACTTGTGCCTTATGATATCTTTGGTGAAGTTGCAGTATTGTGCAATATTCCACAACCATGTACTGTTAAAGTTTGTGAGTTGTGCAGACTACTGCGAATGGAAAAGCAGTCCTTCACAGGAATTTTACAAGTTTACTTCAAAGATAGCCAACAAATTCTCAGTAATCTACTCAAGGTATGATATTCGAAGAACACAAACTTATTTTACAAAATTTGTTTCAGGAATCAAACACTTCGGTCAAATTTATCAAAACTTGTGACTCGCAGAGAAAGAAGACTGATCTAAGAAAGAGGCAGTTGGAGTCGGATATAAAATATCTAATCACAAAGCAAGAGACAGAGCTAGCTCTGGGAGTAAATAGTGCAGCTTATCATGGAGACTTGCATCATCTGAAAGGTTTAATTAAGGCAGGGGCAGATCCAAACAAAACAGACTATGACGGAAGAACAGCACTCGTACATACTTACTTGGTTCTTGACCTCTTTAAGATTTTCTGCAAAGAGGACAAATAGTTACTTCTCATAATGAAAAATAACAAACGGGGAACAAAACAATTTCTTTAACATTTAATCCGTTTAGTATTTCTTAGATTTGTTTCTCAAGGCCAATTTTTGTAGTTATCATTTAGTAATACATTATTTAAGTTTTTATTTGAAAAATAAAACTTAAAACTTGTAAAAATCGTTTGTTGAACGAGGTGACTAGCTTTAAACACAATCAAAAGAACAATCAAAAACTGACATGCTCATGCTTACAATGCTTTCACTTAGCAAAGCCAGTCGCCTGCTAAATGTGTAACTGACTACAGTAAAATTCATATTTTAAATCTTTTTGAGCTTCTCCTTCCTGCTTTCGCACCTGCTTCCTTCCTTTTATCCATGAGCTCGCAAATCAAGCTTTTCTGGAGGATTTCACAAATTTACAAGTTAGTACTTATATTTTAATAATTTATTTTCCAAAGATGTGTTATTTGGCATATAATCTTTTGCTCAAATCATTTGAATGTTGCTTATTTTATTGTATAGAGCCATGTTATTTAGGGTTTTCATGTTAAGCTTTAAGGTTTTTTTTTTCTATTTTTTCATGTTAATTATGTTTAGTGAGCAAAATAACTAAGCATATTTAGGATGAAAAAAAAAATCAATTACATAATCATGAAAAATAAAACTAAATATGCTCATTCAAAAAATTAATTTTTGTTTTCTATTAGTTAAATAATTCTAATATTTATCATAACTTAAGTTTTCTGTTATAAAACATCTAACTTAATTTGGGTTTTGTGTTAAACCAAATGGTATATATTATTGTTTTCTGAAAAAAATTATTTCTATTAATGTCTTCTGCTAAATATTATTATCTTATCTTAAAAAATAAATTTAAATACCATTTCAATTTAGTTTTCTATTAAAAAAAAATAAAGCTTAGGGTTTACTCACTAAATGTAATTAACATGAAAAAATTTAAAAAAAAAAAAACTCAAAGCTTAACATGAAAACTCCTAAATAACATGGTTCAATACTAAAAATAGTAAATATTTAAATGATTTGAGTAAAATAAGACATTCTAAGTAGCACAACTTTTAAAAATAAATTATTAAATACAAAAACCAACCTATAAAATCGCGAAATCCTCCAAAAAAGCTTGATTTGAAGCTCATGGACGAAAGGAAGGAAATAATTGTGAATGCAAAAAAGAGAACCTCGGCCAGATATTTAAAACGAGAATTTTACTATAGTCAATCGCTCATTTAACGGACAATTAGCTCTGTCGAGTCAAAGCACTATTAGCACCAACATGTCATCTTTGGATTACTCTTTTGACCGTGTTCAAAGACAGTTGTCCGTTCATAGGACGACTTTGGATAGTTTTAAATTTTATTTTTCCAATGGCGAATTAAATAATGTATTAGTTAACATTACTTAACGATAACTACTTAAAATTTTGTCCGTTCAAGTATCCCTCAGTATAGTATATATAGGAAGGATATGTGATAAAACCAAGGGAATTCGAAATGGTTATATTACAAAGATGGTGAAAGTAGCACACATTGAAAATACAATGCTTAAAAATTAACTTAATTGATATAGTCATAGACAATGGAGGATATAAGATGCACCATTAATAATGAAAGAACAAAATCAATGTGGAAAGATTAAAAGGTAAAAGAGAGTAAACCAACAATAACATGATTAGAGAGTACAATAAGAAAGATATACGAAAAAATAAAGCTAGTATCTCATGTGATACTCGACACATATGAATGTAAAAGTCACAAAGCAGACTAAGAATAATTGCAATGACAATGATAATGTTATGATGGTATTTCATTTTCTATGCAGGAGCAAAATTCAAGTTTAGCTCCATGTAGGCTCACAAAAGCACTATATTAAATAGCAGTAGCTCAATTTTAACTTATATGCATTTTCACTACGATAATGATTTTTGTTTTCCTTTTTCCTCAGCAAATGGCTGCATCCAGAGGCTATGAAGACATTGTGAGATTTCTTATTCAATGGAGAGCTGATGTAAATTGCATTGGTGAGATTAGACATGGATTTAGAATAAAGTTGACTTCAACAAAATCTCTGCATGATATTTTTGTAAAATGGCTTTGAATGCAGATAAATTTGGAAATTCGCCATTGTTTGAAGCTGTTAGGGCCGGACATGATAAAGTTGCAAAGCTGCTTGTGCAGAATGGCGCAATTCTTAACCTAGAAGATGCCGGCACATATCTCTGTAAAATAGTAGCAGATAGTAAAATTGACATATTGCGCCGTATGTTGGAATATGGAGTTGATCCAAACAGTAAAAATTATGATCACAGAACACCACTACATGTTGCAGCTGCAGAAGGGCTGCACCTTCTGGCGAGTGTCTTGCTTGAATTTGGAGCTAATGTGCTCTCCCAAGATAGGTATCACACTCAGGCTTCATCACATTCTCCAGAATTTTGTACTTAAATATATAACTTCACAAATCTTTAAGCAAAAATATGAAATGAAATTCTTTTTCTTGCAAAAAAAGGCTGCCCATAAGAACATGCGATCCTAGTGATAATGAAAGAAAAAATTTCACCATAGTAATGTTTTGTCATTTCGCTCTCTATGGATGTCAGGTAAGTAGCAAAGAGAATGATAAAGCATGTTAATATATATATAAACTGCTATCTTTTGGGAGGAAAATTGATGATCAATTATTTAAAGCCAAAGAAGGCGTCTTTTTTCCCAGCTTAAATATTCATTGTTGCAGGGCCTTATCCTAGGTAATTTATTTCCTTGAGTGATTAAGAGAAAGTAAATGATTCAAGGCCAATATTTTACTTTAATCTCACTTCTTGGTTAGCAAGTTTTTCTCATCATGAATTAAATTGCACTTATTAACAAGCAAAAATTTCTTAAAGTGGAGGAAGTTTTGAAATAGGAATAACGTTTTTTTTTCTATTTTACTAACTAGAAGGATTTTACCTTTCCATGACAGATGGGGAAACACCCCCCTTGAGGAAGGCCAGAGATGCGGAAGCAAACCTCTAATTAAGATCTTAAAGCATGCCAGTCAAAGAAGTATATTAATGTCTCTTTAGAATACAAATAAGTTCCACTAAATAAGCAACTTTTTTCCTGTAAATTTTTTGAACTTTTACTGCAAGCCAAAGTTTTATTTTTTATCATTTCAAAAATGGGTATCACCTACTTTGATGTGTAATCATTATTCAAAAGTAGCGTTTTACAATGCAATTCTTTGTTCTGAGGCTTCATTTGGTTTTTGTAACACTTATCTAGTTGAATAAGCTATTAGAAAGAACGAGCAGGGTTTTTTTTTGCTCTATCAACAATTTCCCTCAAAAAGGTTGTTTTTTTATGACAAAGTGAAGATTGCAGCACATAAAGAAACTTCTATAAAGTTCTAACGCGAGCGAAAAAATGGCACAAGTCATGCCAAACAAAACGTAAATTTCAAAGTTCACTAACCTTTGTGACCAATTCTAGAGGAGCCATGGATTATTGCTAATTTATCTTTGGTAAGAAATAATTTTTGTTTCCTCTGCTTGAGGACAAAAAAAAGCTACCAAATGAGCATAAAGGGATTTCTCGGTGTTAGGAGTGCTATCTAGATTCCTATAAATCATGACAAGCGCTTGGAATCATGATATAAAAATCAAGCACAAAACATTGTCCATTCTGCTGCCAGGAGATGGAAGATTTGCACTTTGTTGCACACAAAAATAAACTGCCATCGTATTAGTTTCTAAATCACCTCAACAATCTGTCTGCAAATTGTTTGCAGAGCAAAAACTGTACTAAATTGGATAAATCTGATTCATTTCCCAAATGATCCATAATATGACTGCACATGAAAGAAGAAAGCTTAGGACCTAAACTTCTCAGCAAACAATTTTCAATCATAAGAACTGCAAGCTAACGATTCCTTCTAATTCCTTTGTTAAATGAACTACAATATGATTAAACACAAAGGTTGAAAACTCAAAAATCTAATCAGAATTCACCCTTGATCTACAAATATTCTTCTAAACAGCTGCAATTTAAACATATGAAAATTGACAGAAAGAATTGTTGACCACCATATACATGCCAAAATCGGTATGAGTGAAAGCGACATGAATGATGACCGACAAACACTAGGTCGTATGTGGCGAGCATCGATGTGCCTCGACCTTGATCAAAGCCACTCAAACTTCGTCCAATTAGAAAACAGATTGTATCGATGAATTCAGGATGTCCAATTTACCAAAAGGGAGTCAATAGTGCTCAACTCAATCAAAAATGATGACGAGTATGTTGTTAGCAATTGCAATGTTACACAAAACTATCCAAATGACATTTGATCGTAAAACGGACTTCACTGTTGCGCTCGGAACATCAAAATTATCTAAGGAGTGACCTCTCACGATCAATTTGAGATAAGGCGATCAACATAGACGGACTACGAATGCTACATTGTGCAACATTGTCCGAACATCATCTGTTCACAAGACGGACTTCGACGTTGTGTCTAGAACGTCCAAAACACCAGAAAACAACTCTAATATTTTTTGGGTTCTTGCACAAGCAAAAGTGTGAAATTGACACATGCTACAAGGTGAGGCATGTAAATCGGGATGGCACGAGGAATGAGAAGGGTCAAGTTACACTTTCCTATGTCATCTCATCTTTATAACAATAAAAAATTATATATAAAAAATCCTATCCTATATCTAATTGTTGGCCTATCAAATCCTTGTGAAATTCTTAGCCAAAGGCATGCACAGCCTCCTAATCCTGCTCAATCTGCTCTGTCAACCACCTAGTGGATAATAAACACATACTAACTGATAATATCTAAGATAGAGAACCTAAGACAAAGCTCATTTCCCGTCCAGAACTCCTTTCTCCTGCTCACTGCTCTCACGAGCACCACTAGCCTGCTCCCCTCAGCCGTCCAACCCAGCTCCTAACTCCCTCTACCTCATGGCCCAAACCACCACCTCCGCCTCTTCTCCCTGTACTACCCGAATTCCCAGCCGCAGCAGCTCCTGCATGCCTCGTCCGCCTACACAGCAACTCGACCGGCAATCTGTAATAACAACCCACTTATCTCCTTCTCCTCACTCTCAGTCTCTCATTCTCTGCTTCAGAAAGAAATAACCGAACACTCCCTCTACCCGAACTCTCCAGCAACAGGCAACATCTTCCTTACAAAACCTGCACTTCCCAGCCAAATCTCCTAGGTCAATCGTTGCCTACTTCGTTCCTCTGCTCCCCTATTTGAATACCAACAGACTGAACCTCTCCCACTCAAGCAAAGACCTCTGAAATTAACCCAAAAGAAATATATACTAAAAAAAAAAACTGCTCAAATCATTACCTGTAGTCGCGTGTACAGCGGCCATACCCTGCGAACGGCGCCGAAAACGTCTTTTCGTGCATGCTTCGCCGCGATCGTTGATTTCTATGGCTAATAAAATGAAGCCAGAGGCAGAGCCTTTGGGCTCTTCTCCCCGCAAGTCATTCGACCCCTCTGTCGTGAAGGAGCAGAAGCCCCATCTCGTCGACCTCGCCTCTTCCTCCGCCCCACCTAGCCTCTCCTCCTACCATAGCCAAATATCTCCTCCCCCTTCCCCAACTCTGCGGTTCAGAGAGAGAGAGAGAGAGAGACCTAACAACCTCCTCCATCGCTAGCCGACTTCGCTCCTTCCGCGAAACTCCTTCCTATTGGTTCGGAAGTTACGGCATTTTGATCGGAAATAGCGACGGGAGCTCACTTGCTCTGAAGCTAACCTTCTCCCCTACACGCGGCTCTTCGGCCAAATCCCGTAACTATGCAGAGAGAGAGATCGTAAAAAAAATAAAAAAATAAAAAAATAAAAAAAAAAAATAAAGAGTATTTCCATCTGTGCATTAGCACCGTTATCACCACCACCCCTACGGGAAGGTATAAGTTTCTAACCTGAAAATCCTGCTCTCGAGGTTTGTGATGAGTCAGCAAATCTTTCTACGCGCTCACGTAGCACAGTGGGAGGGAAACCATTGCAAGGCTTGCAACGAGGTGGGTAATCCCCGAAGCGCTCATGTTGCGTGGAGGGGAGAGTTGCCTCTTGATTTTTCCCCGAAATGGGGGGATGCCGGGAGGCTGCCAGATTTTTGTTTGAAACGCACAAGGACTTGGACTTGAGCTTGATTGAAACTCAAAGGAAAATATGGGACTTATGGACTTGATACAATCGACTTAAATGAACTCAAATTTAAATGAGTATGAACTTCAACGAATTACAAGACTCAAATTTGATTTGAACTTGAACATAATTTGAACTCAATCAAAGATTTGAGTTGGACCAGACTACACTTGAACATAATTTAGACTCAAATGAGCATGGTGAACTTGAATCACATACAAGGGAACTCGAACTCAAACCTGAAATGAACATTTGTGGACTCAAGTTCGAAAGAGTAATGCATGAAGCTCAGATAAATATTGAACTTGAAATGAAATAAAATCTAATGTCTAAGATAAGAATTATAAGTTGGCATAATAATAATGTTAAGGCATTGCAAAATTTTCAATTATCACTTCAACTAGACAACAAATGTTAATAATCCATAGTGGTAAGTTCACCATGTATTTGTACACATTGCAGCACATCTTTTGGAACAAAGGAATTATGGGTACAACTCGTTCACTAGCAACAAGAAAGTCGTAATAGATGTAGCTTGAGCACTTGATCAAATCAATCTCTAAATGATATTAAATGGCGCTCATATCACTCATGAAATAAATGTGGTGATATCCCTACAATCTACTAGAGGCCAGGATGCTTCTACAACCAGCAAATCAAACTGCTAGCAAATATCTTAATCTCCTACTAGCATTGAAGATTATTACATAACGGACATCAATAAATAAGAAAGAGGAAAGTGTAAGTGATGGCCCTAACAATCAATTTGTAAGGAGGGATGAATGTGATACCTACAACAACACTTTCAATACCAAGGTTACATTAAGAATACAATAATTCATTGGTCGATGTGTAAAGAGATAGTTGATGAATCCAAGTCATCTCCAAGTCATTCAGAAAAGTATTAATCAACAAAATGAGAGACTTGTGCTGAAGTTTTGGATAAATATTTACAAATAGTATGAAATCTCCAATAGAGATTAAAGATCTTCAAAAATACAAATGTTAACATACGATGTGGTGTGTACCAACAAGTTTGATAGATCTATGATACAAATGAGCATCCGCAAGCAAACAGAACTTGCAGGGAATGGGGCAACCTACCTACAAACTATAATGCAAGACCCTCGATATGTGTTGTAACAGAATCATGAAAGCTATACTAGTTGGAGTGTAAATCTCCTATTGACAATAGTAATAATGTTGTCAACCATTAAAAAAGCGGACGAGGCGTCCGCATTGAGTGGCGCCTCAAGTCGAGGTGGAAGTCATGCGTATCGGGGCTTAAGCCTCGAACCATCCAGCGAAGCCTACTATTTTTTCGCATGAGGCGTACGCATCAGAGCATAACGCCTCGAGGCAATACGAGGCACCGCCTCGAAATTTTTTCTTCGGAACATATGTAAATACGACGCAATTGATTCCATATTCGCGTATAGGATTAGGGCTTCCTGTGAGAATTGAAAGGCGGACTAGAGGCGAAGCCGTGAGAGAAAGAGACGAAGCCGTGAGTGCAGGAGACGACGCAGGAAACGAATCTGAAAGCAATAACGGTTTCGAAACCAGGAAACGAAGCTGAAGTTGTGAGTGCAGGAAACGTTCAGGCCTCGGTTAGGTCAGAAGAGCAAGTGAGCGGTGTTGTGGACCTTAACTTTGACGTGCAGTAACGAAAGCTTGAAAAACTCCTGATTCGGCTTTCTTTCATTCGTTTCCATAACGCTAGGTACATGCTCGGTACCGAGCCAGTATCGCTCAGTACCGAGCCAGTATAGCTCAGTACCAAGCAAATACATGCTAGGTACCGAGCCAGCACTGCTCGGTACTGAGCAAGTATATGCTCGGTACTGAGCGGTACATGCTCGGTAACAATAGGTACATGCTCGGTACCGATAGGTGCATGCTCGATATATTTTCATACAAACAACATACGAACTTTAAAAACAAGCAGAATTTCAAAATTACTCTCACAATATAATTTTGTTCCGGGGGCGCTTCCCCCGGAAACCCCCTCAGGGGCGCTACCCCTTGACCCCGCGACATGACCGGACAAGTCGAACCTTGCCAGGAGACAACGCCCCCTTGGACCCCCAACAGACTGATATATTGTTGTATTCATGTTGTCTTATTATTGGTAGTACAAATAATTGTTAAAATCTGTCCTATTGTTGATTTTATGTTGTGATTATTTATTTTTATAAATTATTAGCATTATTAGTGGCACAAGAAGGAAAGATCCTGCATGGAAATATGGAACTCGAGTTGAAATGTCAGGCAAAGGTGTAAAGAAGGGATATGTTTAAAGAAGGGATATAGACTGCACTCATGTCGATGTGGGACCATGTGCAAAAGTATCTGATGAGGTGAAAAAGGAATGTATAGATTATTTAAAGAAGTTTATCACCACAAAGGATGTCACACAAAAAAATATGGAAGAGATGATAGGAAACTCTTCTTACTATGGATCACAGCATGAAGGTTCCAGTAGTGGAAGTCATCTAGTTTCTTCTAACCAAGGCACTCGGGATCCCATGGATACATTTATGATAAATATTGATGATGAGGAAAACATAAACACTCATGGTCTTTAGCCTCCTACTGCTACAAAAGAACTCTGGAATAGAGTTTGTTTGGATATCATCAGATTCATCTATGAAAATGAGAATCCATTTAAATGTTGTTAGGAATCCGTCATTAATCAATATGTTACGATCTGTTGGAAGTTATGGAAGAGGAATACAATTTCCAAGCATGTATGAACTGAGGACTTGGATGCTGAATGAGGGGGTCAAGACAACTTCAAAAAAGATGGATGATGTTAAGAAAACTTGGATTGAGACAGAAGTCACAATAATATCAGATGGTTGGTCAGATATTCGACATAGAAGTATTATTAATTTCTTGATCAACAATCTATATGGAACATTTTTTCTAAAATCAGTGGATGCTTCAAGTTTTGTAAAGAATGCACAATTGTTATTTGAAATGTTGGATAAAGTTGTTGAGAAAGTGGGTGATGTTTTAGTAGTACAAGTTGTTACTGATAATGTAAGTACATATAAAGCTGCATGGAGAATGTTAATGAAAAAGAGGCATCACCTTTACTAGACTCCTTGTGCTGCACATTACATTGATTTAATATTTAAGAGGTTCGAAAAGTTGCCTCAGCATAAATCAACCCTATTGAATGTCAAATTTGTTAGTAAGTTCATATACAATCATTCTTGGGTACTCAATTTGATGAAAAAATTCACTGCCAAGAAAATTATTAGACCTGCTGTTACGAGATTTATTATTGCATATTTAACATTGCAGAGATTCAAAGAGTTAAGGCAACATTTGGAAGCTATGTTTGCTTCTGAAGAATGGGATAAAAGTTCATGGGCAAAAAAACAAGAAGGAAAATATGTAAAAAAAATTATTATGAAAGATGATTCATTTTGGCGGAATACAAATTACGCATTGAAGACAACAACACTATTAGTTAAGGTGTTTAGAATGGTTGATGGTGAGAGGGCTCCGACTATGTGATTTATTTATGAAGCAAAGAAGACATTGCAAAAGATTTGGGAGGTCAAGAAAGTGACTACAAAGAAATAAGGGATATTATAGATAAAAGTGGGATCGTTAATTACACCAACACTTACATGCTACTGCATACTATTTAAATCCTCAATTTCATTATGATAAAGACTTTCATGTTGATAAATAAGTGAAAACTGATTTGTATGCATGTATAGACAGACTTATTTCTGAAAAATATTATCTCAAATTGAATGATCAACTTGAGGAATTTCATTTGAAGAAGGGAATGTTTGGATTTAGAGCAGCACAAGCATGCTACAAAACATGATCTCCTGATATGTTTATAATTTGTATATTTATATTCAAATCTTCTACTTCAATCAATATTCATAAAATATTATTCATTTTCATGTAAAACATTGGTGGAGTCAATTTGAAGATGATGTTCCTGAATTGAAAGCTTTTGTAATTAAAGTTCTCAGTCTAACATGTTCCGCTTATGCATGCGAGCGTAATTGGAGCATCTTCAATCAAATTCATACTAATAGAAGAAATCAATTGGTGACAGATCAAATGAACAAACTAGTTTATGTTATTTTTAACAAAAAATTGAAAGATAGATATCTCAAATTACATAAGCAATGAAGCATTGATAATGA